CACGCCCTCGGCTTCCTTGTTGTGTCCTTCAGCAAAACAGTGGATTTAAATCTCTTCGGAAGAGCTTGAGAGCAACACAGTCTATCAAGAGGAAAAAGGAAAGAAAGAGAGAGAGGGAAAAAACGATCCTGACAAAAAAGAAGAAAAAGAAGAAGAAAAAATTATGAAAACCATCCAGGCAAAAATGCACAATTCTATCTCTTGGGCAATCTTCACGGGGCTGGCGGCTCTGTGCCTCTTCCAAGGTAAGACCGGCTTTTGATTTGCCTACAGCAGCCCCGGGAATGGTACCCGGTGCTGCAAGCATTTGCAGGCTCTCGGGGTCGGCTCCGCTGCGCGGTTTGCAGGTGGAAGCGCGAGCGTTTTAACCAGCATGGCTGGGACTTCATTCTCCCGACCAGGCTGTGAGAATATTGATTTGATTCTGGCTGCTACTGGAATGGGGAACTATGTGTGCATAAGTAAAACGTGTCTCTGCTACTCCCTTGGGTCCATGGCTGTGCGCTGGCTCCCTGGCTTCATGCACATCCTTCACACTTAAACAGCTCAGCACACATGTACGCAGGGTATCCTCGCCCGTGGGGAGGGCAACCGGATTGTGAATGTGCTGCTTATGGGACTGGGGAGAAATTACAGGAGGAAACTTTAAATATTGGCCAGTGAACTTGTAAAGCTTCCAAGAGGTGCAAAGCGGGGAGACGCAGGCTGGAAATAATCGGGTACCTCCTGGAAGGTGCTGGTCAACGGTCTGGCTTCGGCTAATAAATGCATTCGCAGGAGCTTGAACAACTGTTAGTTTTGAATCTGTTTGGGGGTGTGTTTGTGGCGGGGCTAGGTGGGGGTGGGCGTTTCAGGCAGATAAAGGAGTGTGCACGCAGCGGCAGGCTGCGCTGGGCTCTGAAATACGGGGAAAGCCTTTCTAAGTTGAAAGGACAGAGGCACTAAAAGGCGAATGCTAATTTTCGGTCTACTTCCTGGTGGCGGAGAAGCCAGTGGCTGCAGTTGCCGAGGCTGGCTTGCTCTCTGATGAGGGCTCTTCAGTGTTTGCTCTGCTCTTTTCAGGTGCATTTGGGAATGTGCTTCCGCCTTGAGTCCATTTGCTGCACCGTGTGGTCCCTACCGCTGTGTCAATCCTCCCTCCCATTAATCCCGGCCATGGGATTAGCTGCTAACCAGCTTGCTTTACCCCCCATCCTTTGAAGATTTGGGGGGGGCTCTAGGTTGCCCCTTTAATATTTAAGATGTTGGAACTGAGAGATTGAGACAGGCAGAAACTTTGACAGGCTTGGTCCTGCAAGGCTCTCCAAGAGGTGTGGAGCCTGAGGCAGGGAGGAGGGGAGGCAAGGCTCTCTCCTTCCTATGCAGTTGCATTCCCAGAGGAAAGTTCTGGCTGGCAGAGTGAAAGGGGATGGGCATCCCACAACTGCCTCCTCTGCTCCCAGTGCAGCACAGAGTTCTCGTGATCTCACTGAGTCCCAAGCTCTGGTCTCTCTGACCCCTTCTGAGTGATGGACCCTGTCCTCTGCAGAGCCATATGAGGTCGACAGAGGGGCAGGGCTGAAAAAAAAATCGAATGCAAATGTCTGTGCATTTTGGCTATGGCTTAAGGAGGAAGGGAAAGGAGAAGAGGGGAACTAGCCCGTGATAAGAAGGTCCAGGATAGAGGGCCATACAGGGATATCCATGAGACTGCATGTCACACTTAACTGTGGGGGCTCAGCCTTTGAGTTCTCCATCTTGCCCTGTCCCTTAGCCATTGGGGGTGTGGAAGGATAAGGAGTCTAGAGGCATCCTTGGTTGACTCCTCTTACGTAATATGGAGCAGGATCAGTGTGTGTGTGTGTGTGTGTGTGTGAGCGCGCGTGCGCGCGCGATACTCTGCTTATTCCGGGCACTAACACTGGCAGTAGGGAAATTGAGTTCAAGCCCAGGCCCCCTCAGGGAAATAGCTCCTTGCTTTCTGACAGCAGAAATGGAAACTAAGTAGGTAAGGCATTGAGTAAGGTGTCAGAGGATGAGAGAAGATGACCCATGCCTTTGGAAACTGTCATCTGTCCTGAGAGCCTCTGTCCTGTTTATTACATCAACCTGGAGACAACTGCCCAAATCCCACCGTCAGCAGCCCCATTGGCTATATGCCAGGAGCCCCAGGGCCAAAGCAAATTTACATATAAATTAGCATAACTTTTCATTAGAAATAAATGCAGAGAAGCATAATATTTGCTCATACTTCATCAACTCCGAATAGAGGGGAAGGAAAAACATATTTCCCCAGGTGAAGTCTGATTTTTGTAGTCTTGCTCCCATCTTGGGGGCTGAGAGTGGGGACAGGGATTTAGCAGATCTGGTCTCCTTCTACCAAGTTCTGAATTTCCCAAGGAAAATGATAGCTTTATTTGTGCTGGCTGCATCCAGGGAGCTCTAAGCAGGCTCCATGTGTCATAATAGAACAGGGCTGGCCAATTTTAAGGCAGTGTGACCCCTAGAGATCCTGTACTACATGCCAATGGGACATGGCAAAGGTGATGTCTGTTTTACTTTGGGGGAAGGAAGCAGAGGCTGCTAGCTATCTCTTATCAAACTTACAGAATTACCGAGGCAGCCCAGGTCTTGCCTGCAATAATCCACCCCTATTGCATTGACCCAGCAGGACTAGTTAGAATGCAGCACACATTCCAAGGCAATTTTTTTTCTTCTCCTCTGTTTTTGTTTTAAGCGGACTCTTCCCAGGGCTGCTACTTCTGGGTTTCTTGCCTCTTGGAAAGGTGTGTGGCTCTAATGGCAGGTTAGGGACCCCTCCCTGATCCATTCTTCCCCCAAACTCATTAGCAACAGTGATTCAGTTTAGGGAGGTGGGAGGCCTGAGAGGCTTGGGAGGCATTGATGAGCTCCAGGGGGTGAGGGAACTGCCTTGAGAAGAACCAGGGCTGGTTCACTAGAAGAAGCTCTTTCTGGAGGATAGAGGAAGCAGGGTTAGGTGCTGTCCTTCCAACACACTGCCCACCTTCTGCCAGCAGAGGTTCCAAAAGCAAATGGCTGGGTGCACTGCAGCTTTTCTCTTTCTAGCAACCGACCCTTCCTCCTTCCAGGGATCGTGGTTCCTCTGAGCACCTTTCCACTAGCTAGCTTAGTTTCCCTACCAACCCTCCTAATTCTTCACTTCTCAGATCCCACATCAAGGAACCTGTTTATTGGAAATACAGAGTTGAAAAGAAAAGAGGCTCGCCTCACACTGTTCTAGGCTCACAGCCGAGGCCATGGGCACCACGGAGCTAGGCAGACCACCAAACTTCCTACCATTCACTCACAGTAAGCCAAACTGGGTAGTTTTGAGATGGGAAGGAGGTAGATGAAACCAAATGACACTCATTGGCAACACGCAATAACCTACTTGAGGTGATGGGATCTAGGGCCTGGTGTGAGCATTGTGGCTACTTGGAAGCATGACCAAAGCACGGGGAGAGACGGGGAGCAACTAAAAGTGAAATGTCACTACCATGCTTGGAGTTGCCTACTTGGGGCTCAACATGGTCTAATGTTCCTAGGCAGCTCCTCCCCACCCTTCCTGCTGGAGGCTGCACTACCCACACTGCTGGGCTTCTGAACATTTGCTCAAGGCTGTCAGGCAGTCAAGCAGCGCCAGGCAGGAGCATCAGGCCTTGCTGATGAAGGCCTTTCTTGGAACTGCAGCCCTAGTTACCAGAGTTACCATGTGCAACCTGGTTCTGCTGTTGATATTCGTTTTCCTTTTAAAGTCAAGTAGAAATACAGGAAGCTCTTTACTTTTATTAAGCAGGATGCATACTTGACTTCTCTTCTTTCTAAGGACGCTTCCCCTTCAACACGGGTATTAACAACACGGTGCAAGAAAGTAACTTAAAATATCCTTCTAGGTTGCTAGGAAGAGAGTGGTGGTAGCTGGGGAGTGGCAGGGGGGCTCCGATCCTGATTTCCTGCTAGCAATTCCCTGGGATCTCTTTGCCATGTATATACAGTTCTGCAGAACTAGGGTACAACAACCAGCAGGACCCCTGGCTGTGTGTCATGGATGGGCCAGACAAACCAAGTTATCCCTTGGACTGAAGTGAGCATACAATATCCCAAGAAGCTGCAGACTCTATGAGCCCATCCTGCCTGTGTGATTGTAGAATGTGCTAGATAGGTCTGTAATATTCGTGATGTCTTCTCATGGTGAAGATACCCTCTAGACAAGACTGGCAGGCCTGGAATTTGGTTCTCTCGGCCAAGCTTTTGTTGCTGTAGTTATTGGTAGTTCTTGACGTCCTGCTCACCACCTAGAATGCAAAGTTTGCTTTATTACTAGTGGCATCATAGGCCCTGCAGACTTCAAATACCCCATGTGTGTTGCCTCTAGGTGTCAAACCAGCTTTGGTGACCTAAGTCCAGCTCAGTTGGGAACCTGATCATCTCTAGGCTTAATTTTTTCCTGTGTTTTCTATAGGGAAAATAAATCTTTCTCTCTGAGAGTCTGTCTCCCCACCTGCCTGACAGGCCAGGGAGTGATTCCCCTGGGTGTTGTAAGGACTCATTAATGCTTGTAACACTCCAAACATGTGGTGCTAAGTGGAACTCCATGCTGAGACCGGTTGTATTTATGCAGTTTCCTTCCTTTCTGCTCTATTGGCTTGTTACATGTTTACTTTATGTCTATAGTCATTTGAAATTCAATAAAAACAAATTAAACATAAAAATTGAAACATGCAAACATAAGGTAGCTAGTGGCTGCAGGTTGGGAAGACACTGTCTTATGAGTCTCCTCAGACTGTCTTCCTCCCCATAGGGCTTCTCTGCTGCACTGGAAGGCATGCTGGGGTGGAGAAGGGTTTTCTAGATGAAACACAGGGATCATGCCCCATCTACGTGTAAAAGGAGGCTTGGCAGGGGGTTGGGATGCTGCAGTGTGAAGAGCCAAGGGGCAGAATCTTGAAGAGGGATAGGAGCTGGAGGTGAGAGTTTCAGTGTGTGTGACAGTATGTGTGTGTGTGTGTGTGTGTGTGTGTGTGTGTGTGTGTGTGTGTGTGTGTGTGTGTGGCCAGGGGTGGGAGGAGCACTACTCTGTTCTGAATCAGCAATGTTTGAGAAAAAAGAAAGATCTCCTGTGCTTTAACCGACTTTGGTCAGTTGTTTCTGAAAACTTTCATTTTCTCTCCTTGTGTATTTACTCGTGCTGTCTTCAGGATTAAGAAGTCTGCCTCTACTCTCCCTGCCAGTGACTTCAACCATGCTCCCTCCTGTCCTCTCCTGCTGGCCCAACCCTCCCTTCTAGCTCTCCCCTCTTCTAGATACTTTCCATTTTCCTTTTTTCCTTCTTCCTTTCATCCCCCCTTCTCTTCTATGGGAGTGGTAATTGATCAGTTGACAGATCTAGGTCAAGCTGGCAAGGGTTTCTCAGCTTCCTGCAGGCTTGCCTAGAAGGAGGGGAGAGTCTGTGTTCCCAGCCCACTGGAGCCCAGAGCATGGGGCAGAGCATTGGGGAAGGAGGGCTGATGAACTGTGGTAAGTTCACCCATCCCCAGGAGGGGCGGCTGGGATGCTGCCTTCATCTGCTTTGTTTCTCTGACACTCTGGTTTTTCATATCCAGCTTATCTTGCCTTCTTTCTGCCTTTATCTTCCCCTCTGCATTCATGCTTGCCTTGTTCCTCTTTTCTCATTCCCACTCTTGACTCTCCGGAAATCATGGCTGGCGATCATAGACTATCCCTTATGTAAGTCATATTACAGGTATGGCCTTTTGTTTATTTGCAAGAGGAAAACCAGAAGCCCTGCAAGAAGAGCTCTGTAAGACATTTGCAAACTGCAAAACAAACCAACAAAGATTCTAATTTTCATTGCTGAAAGGAGAGGATTTCAAGAGAGACTGTCAAGCTAAGAATCAAATATTGGAAAACACATTCTTCACTCCTGCCACCAAGAACATCTTAGGTTACTAAGTTTGATTTATTTTCCCTATCTCTTTTTATTTGTGGCTTTTGTGAGAATATTAGCCTTTGCATTAATAAAAGACTGATCGAAAGACCAGCTTGTTTTAGCTTCACTTGCTTATTCTTAGACGGGGCGCCAAATTCTATCCTCTGTCAAAAATCTTCTATGATTGGTTCTCTGGTTCAGTCACTAAAGAGTGTGCACTGAGCACCTACTGTGCTTCATGCTGTACTGATGGTGCTAGGACTGTAACAGTGAACAAATCAAGGGATTTGTTCTTGCAGCAGTACCCTGGCAGCAACTGGGAAGACTCAATGCAGCATCAGGCCTCCTGTGCAAATGATGGTGCTGCAGGAAAGTAACCAGCCTGTAGTTGGTTTGTTTGACTCTTTGTTCCTTGTTCTTTGGGGGGCATACCTCCCAACTCCCAAATAAATCACACACAAAGGCTTATTACTACTTATAAATGCCTAGCCTTAGCTTGGCTTATTGCTAGACAGCTTTTCTTAACTTAAATTATCCTGTCTACTTTTTTTTTTTGCCTCTGGGCTTTTACCCTTTTTCTATTTCTGTATATCTCTACTTTCCATCTTATTCCATGTCTGTCTGTGTGTCTGTCCCCCAACATCCTCCTCTTCTTCTTTTCTAATTCCTCCATCTCCTCTCCACCCAGATTTCTACCCCTATTTATTCTCTCTGCATACTAGCCCCACCTATCCTTTCTCCTGACTTGCTATTGGCTATTTAGCTCTTTATTAGACCAATCATGTGTTTTAGACAGGCAAAGTAACACAGCTTCACAGAACTAAGCAAATTCAACAAAAAAGATTGCAACACATCTTTGCACAATTAAACAAATATTCCTTAGCCTAAAAACATGTAGTGCATCTTCAACTAATATTTCATAACACCAGCCCTTAGTCCTTGTTTGCAGAAGCGTTGGAAGAGTGCACATCACAGCTCCGTGCTCTTGCAGATTTGAGGCACTGCCTTTGATTCTTGTTGTTCTTGCCAAGAAGGTGTTCCTGGAATCTCAAGTGTCTTCCATTATATGCAGCATTAGGAAACTGAAAGCAAATGAGAGTCAATTAGTCATGTGACTCCTGGTTTTGTTTATTGACTATTTGGTGATTCGTAACACCACTGCCACTGCCACATAGCATAGCCAGACAGCCTCCTTTATGCCCCGATTTCTGCACAGACACAACAGGGCCAAAGATAGTAAAGAGAGAAAACTTGTGATAAGGCCAGAGAAGAACTTGCCTTGGGTCTATTTCCTTGGCTTTGGTGTGGGATGCACATTTGCTTCCCATTAAGAGCTTACTTGTTACTTGGTCAACCTCCCCTAATTTAGGTTTCTAAAACAAGCCAAATGCTTCATTAACCCAAGACAGCTATTTGCTGTCTTCTGCTGCTATACTCTATTTGGGAAATCGCCTTGAATGGTTGCTCTGTATATGTATCGTCTCTTGTCTCTTGGTCTGTCCCATTGGATTTTCAGCTCTGCACATCTGGAGCAGGCCACACTTCTCCTATGTTCAGTCTGGGCCCTACAGTGCCGCCCAAGTACGTAGGAGGGCTGCTTCTGCCTGTGTTCCCATCTTCCATGGAAGTGGTGATTACTGCAGTTTTTCTCATGGAACAAATCCTTTCCTGGGTCTACAATTCTCCTAATTCCAGTAACCTAGTGCAATTCTTCTCCTGACCCAGTCTTAGAAGCCACAAGGGCCTTCAGCATATACGTGCTCAGATGGATGCTCAGCCTAGGTCTGTTTTGAATACCCTCCAACTCTAAGCTAGTCATTCCACACCATCAAACTACCCAGGAAGCTTTATTCAAATGCCAACATCAGATCCTATCACAGGCTGGGTAGGTCAATTCTCCTTTATTTATTTATTTGTTTATTTATTTATTTATTTGGTTGTTTTTTATTTTTGGCTTTTGGTTTTGTGGGGTTTTTTGTTTTGTTTTGTTTTTTGTTTTTTGAGACAGGGTTTCTCAATAGCTTTGGAGGCTGTCCTGGAACTTTCTTTGTAGATCAGACTGGCTTCGAACTCACAGAGATCTGCCTGTCTCTGCCTGTCAAGTCCTGGGGTTAAAGGCTCATACCACCACAGCCTGGCAAACACTGACATTTTAACAACTCCCCCACCCTGTTTTAATTAGGAGCAGGGCTAACAAACCATACCCAGAAAGCCATCTGAAAATGTCCTGCACCCTGGGTTAGACACACACCTCAACGGGCTTCGGCAGTTCCACTTTAAAATAAAGCAGTTGGATCAAAGGATTCTAAAGTTTCATTCCAAGCTCTGCATTCAGCAATTCTGCAAAATAGTCTTTTTGAGTATAGTTATTGATAGGTAGCGGTGCTAGAAGAAAATACTCACAACTAGTTTCTGCCTGCAGGAAGCTAGGAATATAAATGGCCACAGATGGGTGAACACGGATCTCAAAAGCGATGTGCACGCGCAGGCAAACTTTACATACAGTGTCATGGGTAAGACACTGTCAATATAGGCATATATTTATTTTCTTGTAGAGCATTCTTAGGGTGCCAGGAAAAGATTAACCAGCTAAAGATTTGCAGACAGAAGGAATGAAAAATTATAATCATTCCTAATTGATCCATCTCTAAGGCTTCCTGCAAGAAAAATTCAGGAAGCCTTTGAGTGAAGGTCAGAGCGTTAAGCCGCAGGGAGTCATGGGAGAAACTCCGTCCTCAAAGGCAGGGATGAAGCACCGATCCTTCGGGCACACTTTTCCTCCCTTCCTGAAGAATCAGTCACCCTGCACCAGGGCCTTAAGAAGGACTCATTCCCAGCACCCCAGCAGCAGCCGTGAAGCTCCGTTTGTTAGACTGCTCTGATGTTGCCTCTGCTTTCCATGCCAGGGTCAGTTACTGCCGGCTACGCAGGAGTGAGAGCTTGCTTGTTTTCTGGTGGAGTCAGCAGATCTCAGAGGATCATGGGTTACGAAGCTACTGTGCAGATTGGAGCCAGGTTTAGTCACTGGGTAACCCACACAACCATCTGGTGCCCCAAAGAATTCACCCTGCTGTGTCAGACAACCCTAGAATCACAACCAGCTAAAGCCTAGGTGGACTTCTAATATTATTTATTCAACCCTTCCCTTTGAGCTCTGACACCTCCTCAACGCAGCTGCTGGGGGTTCCCAGCGTCTGTGACCAATAGTGTGAACGGAGAAACTTCCTTGTGATCATCTATTGATTTAACCGTTGGATTCCAGGGAAGATGGGAGGAACGGGATGTGGTAGACGGAAACTACCTTCTGGAGGCTCCAGACATTTCTCCCACTCTACAACATCGTTATAGCTTACTTGTCCATGGCTTGGCTTGGGGCCAACCCTAGCTTGCCCACCTCTAACTTTGAGAACTGAGGCAATTGAATCAACCTGTGTTTTTTGTTTCCTCGTGGTCCTGGGGAATGAACCAGGGGCCCAGTGTGCACTAGGAAAGCGTTCTTCCACCGAGCTACATTCCCAGCTCTTGAATCATCCTCTGTGTGACTCCATTTCTTACTCAATGAATTGAGATAATTTTAGGATTTCCTTGTAATACTGTTCAAAGTATTTAATAAATAAGTTAATACTGAAAAGGTGCCTAGACACTAACTGGTATATATTAAACACCCAGTAGCATTATGGTCACCTTAATCTGCCATTTGCAGAACTGATCTGATCTTTCTATAATCTGGATGTTTCTTACATATTTGAAAGTGCCATTCCCTCCCCGATTGCCTTTCCATGATGTTCAATGGGTCAAGATTTCTGTCTTATGTTTTCATATAACCTTCCACGGCCTGGGCTTTAACTGCTCCTCTGTGATTCTTTCTCTCCATGGTGCTGGTGGCTCAGCTCAGGGTCTCACACATGCCAGGCAGCATGCCTCCACCGAACCACATCCCCAGTATGGCTATCCCACGTGCTTCTCAAAATATTCTTCTCCCAGTGTGTCTGAGGCTATGATGACTCCTCACTCCAAATTCAAGCAGGGTGGAGTCTTGGTGCCTTAACAAGGCATGGAAGCCCTAAGGGTTTAACCTCGGTTTACCTCTCTTATCCCTAACACTTTACAGTTCCTGTGCACGGACGGACTCTTGCATTTTCTGTGGTTCTCTCCCTTAGCTGCATGCCCCTGAAACACTTTCTGTAATTCAGGACCAGCTTGGCACAAGGCGTCTCTTTGAACCTTGTCCTTCATCCGTGGCTCTGCTATACTTGTACTCAAACTCATTTTTAACATTCGTAGCATGCGAGTGTAGTTACCCCGTTACCTGTGACTTTTCTTCAGGCTGTGAGCTCCAGGGGAACACAGGATGTCTTATTTTCCTAGCGCCCTTAGCAAAGGGAGCTGGGGCAAAGGTTACCAACAGAAGGAAAAGAGAGTGAGAAGGGAAAAGGAAGAGAAGAGGCCTTGATGTGCTTTAGGTATTCTAAGGGCCATATAATATCTCTAGGGCTGGAGGGATGGCTCAGCAGTTAAGAGCGCTGACTGTTCTTCCAGAGGTCCTGAGTTCAATTCCCAGCAACCACATAACCACATGGTGGCTGGCAATCACCTTGAATGAGATCTGGTGCCCTCTGCTGACATGCAGGCAGAAGATTGTATACATAATAAATAAATAAAATATTTTTTAAGTATGTAAAAAAATCTCTAGCTTACAGTGAGGTATTATTTCAATCTTCCTTATCCTATGTCTGTGTATTTTCACTGTGTAAGCAAAGGCCTAACTCCAAAGCGTACGCTTCACTTCCTGAGGTCATCTTGTTAGCTTTGTCCAATCACATTTTCTGACAAGACTTAGTGGACACTAAGTGTGCATCCTATATAGTTCCTTCCAATGGCCGCCACACCATGCTGTGTTCATACTTCTCTCTAATCATTCTGATAATTGTCTTTAAATAGATTCTGTCTACTATCAATAATAAGTGTGTGTTAAGGGTAACTATGTAGCTATCTTTGCAGAATCCATAGTTTCAGGCTAGAATTACTGAAGAACAGTAACAAGTTCTTCCAGTGGCAAACAGATAGGTCCATGCTGCCTTGTGGTATGGAACCAGTGTTCTCCACCTG